TGAGTCCTTGGGAGAAGGGCGGCATATAAATCCAATAAACCTAAACCTAAACCTATCTTGGCTTCAGAAATTTCTTCCACTGAAATCTTACCTTTTTATCCTCGTTTCGTACTCCAGCTTTTGTTTCGTCATTTCCTGCTTTAAGCTGGAAACCAGGCTGTGCAAAGCACTGTGATTGCCCGTGTTGTTCACAAACGTTTCACTGTTGTCACTGCTGCTCGTAGCCCTGCTGCTTCGCCCACCCACGCTTCTCCGGTCGACTTTGCTCTCACCCTCGGCCGGGTTCAGGAGATTGTCCTGTTGGTGCTCGTCTAAAACCGGGTCTTCAAAATTGCTCCCGTAAAAGTCTTGCTCGGGACACGTGGTGGTGGACGAGCGGCAGGAGTTCGAATGTTCAGGGAGGGATATTTCGCACGAGGACGTAGACCAAGTGGCGCTGTCCACGCTCTGCTTATCTTCGGCGTTCACTGCCGAGAACTGTTGGTGCACGTTGTCGTAAGTGGAAAGTCTGTTGTGTTGGCCTGAATCACTCATAGGCTCCTTTTGCTTGTTGTCTCTCAAGGTCACGTAGCCATTAGGCATCCAGCTCTGGCAACGGCTGTTCAAAGAGTTGCTGTGGGCATCAGTGCTGGAGATACCCATTCGCACCCCTCCGTTTGGCACGCTGTGCGTGCCCATTTTGGTTACTGGCCCTTTCAGAGAAGATGTTCTCCTGGTCTGCAAAGTACCGTTGGGTAGAGAGGGTGATGTCTTCTCCTGACTCTCTACAGAACTGCTGAAGGAGCCGTTGGTGACTATGCCGCTACCTTTATTAAACGCCGGGTTTTTTTTCACCGTAAGGGGTGGACTCCTGGTCATGTCCAGTTTGTGAAGGCTGTTCCTTGGACTGTTGGATTTGCTTCCGGGCTGAGCTGTAGGAGATCCATTGTCCACCAGGGTTCTTTGTGGAGATTCAGGCTTGTCCCATGAACATCGCCTTACAGGGGACGACTCCTTGGTATTATTATTCTCTCTGTTCTGGAGTTGTCCGATGATGACTTTCTTTTGGACCTCGTTGTTGTTATTGCAAACCTCCTGTCCACTTTGGGACTCTGCATCCTTGGGAAACAACAGCTCATGTTCGCTTATCATCATGGACATCAGTTGCTGGACCACCACAGTACCTAATAGGAAATAACACAAAGAAATCCAGGTTCAGCATGCCGTAACTTTTGAAATAAAAAATGCTACTTCTGCACATACTTTGCATCCAAGTTTTATCTTTGCATGAGATCCAATGTCTCGTGGCAGGTTTATTTTCCAATGGGGAAAAATAAAAGAGGAGACTTTCTCATCTAGAAAGTTCTTACAATCCTCATTGGTCATGAGCAAAGCATGGGGCAGGATCCAACCTGGGTTGGTCACCGGGGCCAGAGGTCTAGTCTTCCAAGCTTTCAGACTCATACTGGAGGCCATCCTCAGGGAACGTCTCTCTCTCTCTCTCTCACACCAGAATGTTGAGTGAGAGAAGTTCCCTGAGGAGGGGCTCTAACATGAGTCTGAAAGCTCAGAAAATGAAACCCCTGATCACAATGACAGACCCAGATTAGACCCTGCAACATTATCCTTCATCCATGAAAGCACCAATGATGTTTATCTACAGTATAAAAATGGCTGTGTGTGCGCGTATACTCCAGCATAACTCTGGAACACCTCAAGCAATTTCAACCAAACTTGGTACTCAGATGACTTACTCTCTGGAAACAAATACTGTGGGGGTAAGAACCCCTAACACCCCTCGGTGTATGTGTGTGCATGTGTCTATGTGTGTGTGTTCCAGCATAACTCTGGAACGCCTGGGCCGCTAAAATGAAAAGGACTGAACTATATCTTTAGTGTCAAGTCACAGTACTTTTGACAGTGATAGTGTGCATTTTGGATTCAAGTTCTGTTAAGATACAGCCTGTTGTGCCTTAAAATGGCTTCTCACGTACAGCACAGTGGAGTTGCCATGGTAACAGCTTCACAGTACTCCACAAGGGGGCTCCCTGTAATACAGGATTGGGATAAATACATACCCGGGCTATGTCGGGTTATCAGCTAGTATCACATAAAATAG